CATAGAAATCCATATAAAGCCTAGATAATAGGTTTGTCGTCCACATCGATCTGTAAGGAGAATAGGATTATAAAACAGCTCGTCCGTAAGCAGGTTTCTCCCGGGATCTTAAGCAGTTCTTTGGCGCAAAAAAAGAGGTAAAATCAGACAGAATAACTATATGAATGCTATGTACATCGCATAAACGGACGTTTCTATTACTTTATGTAAAGTAGACGTCTGCTTGGTCGGTGCATACCTGATGATTATTAAAATATTTTCATTTGTTCATTTTCAAGGCTTTTACGACGAGTGAAATAGTTTGCATTCTTAACGAGAATGTTGCTTTCATTAAGGATTGTTTTAAAAATCGGTAAGAAACAATATAAACAAATTGTACGGGGTGTCCCAATATTATCTTTACAGTATCCTACGATAAACATGGGCAGATTTTACCTCTGTCCTAAATTAGTTTCTTTAGTCGCTAAAGCACAGAGAGAAAACAGTCTATTAAAAATTATTTTGTTTCTGTTATCAAATAAATAAGTTTTGAAATGGTGTCATTATTTAAAATTTGTTAATAATCTAATAAAAAAATGAATTAACCCAAAATCCAATTACTTTGATCCCTCTAGCGTCTAAACGAAGCAACTTCTGATAGAAGTAAGTTTAGTTAAATATGCTTATTTTAATCACAGGAAACCATGGTACACTGAATATTGGGACATCCTGTATATTAATTTTTCTCGTTACATCACATAGGTATTTCTTAAACAACTGGTTTACACTAAGCTGAATAAAACTGGATGATAATTCTTGACCTATAAATTATCTTCTAAAAATAATTAGATTACGTATTTCATGTAACCATTATTATAATTTAAATATCCAAGCTACACCGTTTGCCAAATTGGCATCATTTACATTTTATTTTTCATTTTGTGCCTAATTAAAGTTAGTTACATTTAAAAATAAAATTATCTTTTCAAATTATTTACATTTTTATGTCAGAAATTAATACTTTATCTATTATTAAATTAACCCGAGATTCTAAAACTAAGTAGACTGCTCAATGTGAAACGCAAGGAAGAACTGCCTGTTTTTCGGATCTCTCCTGAATTCGACACCTCGCTTCGACACGCCCATTTCTTGGGTCCAGAAGTTTCTGCTCTTATCTTATTGACGGGAACCCTGAATATCGGGACGCTTTGACATAACTATGTCATGTTAATAATTACCTAATTGACTGGACTTACATTTAAATAAATAATTATGTGACTAACTGAACTTACAAGTAACCCTAGCCTTCCTCTAGTGACTCCGTGCAGCAATACGGGACGGATTAGTCATTCTCATTTAATATATTCTTAATAGCTTGGAAAATCCGCCTAAAAACCAGCTATTTGATCTATTACTTTCCTTTCCAATTATTATCAATTTAACAATTTGATTTAATTCTAATTTCGAACCTCTACGCTTTTCTCGTGGTTTCGCGCGTTATTAAAAATGTGGGTTTCTTTGTACTGTCCCAGCATAGGCTGGCGCCTCCTGGCCGCGACAGATGACTGTCACATAGCCCCGACGGTCTAAATGTATTTGTTAAAAAATATTGCTAAATTTCTTCGAAGGACGACGCTAAACCTACTTAAGAGCCCTTAACTTTCAGTAACTACTGTTGACTGAAATATTTTACTTTTTGGCTCATCCGTTATGAGAACTAACAAATAAATTACCACGCGACACGGTATTTGTTACAATATGGCATTAACATGTATCGATGTTAATCCAGGACACCTCAAGGATCAGTTCTTGGCCCAGTTCTCTTCTTAACTTATGATAAATTTGAACTTTCGATGCAGAACTTGAATAAATATCATACTTTAGCCCCAGAGAAACCGAAAATATTCCAGATCTATCTATTTATCTCTAATTCACAAAAACCCACAAGGAGCGGTCTTTCATGCTTTTGAGTGAGGTTTTGGTATTAACCCAATAGTCCTGTATCCAAAATACCAAAGTTTGTGTCCGCAGAAAACAACAACCAGCCGACTGTTTCTCAGTTACCGACAAGGAAAATGTACCATTTAACTTCGTAGATCAGTAGCTACTTCCTTAGCAGATTGTGATATCTACATATCACTACTTTAAAGCATTTTGGAGATTGGAAAAGCATCGAAGTAGCTGAACCATATGTCGAATACTTCCTTCAACAGAAAATCAAGATTGGGAATAGAGTTTTGAAAACAACAATGTTGACACTTCAGTTCTTACACTATGTTCTTTGCAATCTTGATTTTTTTTATTTAGGGAAGAATCTGCGTACTTATTATTATTTTAAAATAATGGTAAATATACTTCTCTATCCCATCTTTAGTTAAATACAACGAACTAAATGCAATATGCAAAGAAATTTGTACTAACTGAAACGTAAATCGAGATAAAAATCATTACAGAACGAATTTTGAACTTTAATATTAAATACTTGTGCATTTAGCTTTCACAGCGTCTCGCCAGAGGGCGAAAAAAGGAATATGAAAGTTGCTAATGCAATTAAAATTAAATATACGAGTACGTACGTCCAAACAAGAGCTAGTCCGCCGAAACAAAGCATACCTCCGCTGAAATTGCAAAAACAAAACAAACACGTTCCATAAAATTATTTCCGACATGGTGCGTTGCAACAGAGAATGGCAGGAATGCTGCATTTGCCGTTAAAGCATAAAATATTTATTTGGAAATTGCAAAAACCGCCGACTGGCGGTTATTAAGGTACGAGAGTGTGAGGGGTGGATTAATTTTAGTAGATATGCAATAATTTCTTATCCTACTGCTAAGTGGAATATAAAATATATACAAATTTTATTGAAAGTTGGCTGAAATCCAATAATAGTTCAATTGAAATGCAAACTGAACGGAATTTTTTGGAATGAAATTGAAAATACAATTGGAAATTAAATTCACCTTTGTTGTAATTAAAATCTGAAAAAAATAGAACAGGAATTTGCATGAAATCATTTGGACTAGAATTTGAATAAAATATATCTCGAATTCTTTGAAAATTAATTGAAGGCAAAGTTGTACTCAGCCAAATGGAATCCATAATCCGTTCTCTTAAAAATCTAATTCAAATTCAACTGGAGTTGTTAGAATACAATTGGAATTTGAATAAAATTCCTTTGGAATCTAATCAAATTTGAATTCAATAATGATAATAATTGTCTTAGCCAAAAAAACTGTCTAAAACTTTTTTTAAATGGAAACAAAATACAAGGCGGGTAGAAAACTAGTTGAACATCTCCGTACAGTTACTTTGTCAGCAATTCAGATATATATAACTTTCTACAAATCTAAAACAATACCACAATAGCTCATATTTATCATTCCATTACAACCTCTCCTCATTCCAAGATGTTCTCTAAGCCCAAGGACGTTGCGCCAATCGACAATGTCTATATTTGCTTATCCGTCTGATAAACAGATAATACTCGAAGATAACTAACTCAAACACGATTATTTTTATTTTCTTTGCCTTCAGCTGTCTCCAGCGACGATAAACCTCGCTATTTGTACGGACGGATGATTATACAACTCCGGCAGATATTCTTTACACTTCCTCGTCTGATTGTGTGAAAAGGGACAGATTTTTTGGCACAGTCTCCGCAGCTGCTTTCAGAGGTCAATACACCAGCAGATACAATCGGAAAGCTGCCAATCTGCGGATTAGGCAACACAGAATACATTTATTGTATATAATATTTTTTTTTTTTCAGGTGTAGTCTCGCATTTTTGTTTTGTTGGTTGCAGAATTACGTTTATCATATATTTATTTTTTATCCCTAATTCAAGGACTGCGTTGTAGAGAATCTTTAAACAATTGAAAGAACCGTAATTTGCTTGTCTTGTCCCAACTATGTAATATTAAATATGCCATTTATATTTTGATATACGTAGATTCTCAAAGTTTCCAGATGGTACAGAAATAAACTGACATCATCAATGATTTGATTGGGATGAACACCACCTTACCGTTTATTCTTGTAAAATTTACGTTGTTGTTTTAAATTACATTAATTGTGCAATTTATTATTTTACTGATATTAATATTTCCATTTCAGGTATGTTTCCATGTTTTTGCAGTAGCACGTGGTCGTAGCAAAGCTCAGAGTAAGTTATTCATTAATTGTAGAAATTGTATTTCCACATTTTGTTCCTGGCAGTCCATTTTAACGAGCAGGGGCGAAAATAGCATTCTGCGTCATCGTTTACTGTATTATAATTAGGAGTGGATCTTTTTATTGTTGATTTAATACTACAGCGCCATAGGTCCATTGCAGGACCATATTACGCAATATTTTCTGAAGTGTTGCCAGAATTTCAGATTAATGAGAATATATATTCAGTAATTCACATTTACATCAAATTCTATAACAGAAAGTACTTCTATCGAGCTCAAATATTGAAGAAATAAAAACATGATTCCCTCTTAATTTCGCAAAAAAATAAAGAGAACTTTGTGTTTTGTTAATTTGATATATAACAAAATATTTTCGTGCTTATTCTTTTTCGTATTAAAAATTTTATTTCAAAATATCATATACATCATAGATATCATTATTTTATAAGGTCAAGGAGATAATCATATGCTTGAAAGTGTAAATTAAATTTCAGCGCTATTCAAGGTGATGGATAATATTTGTTTTAATTAATTTTTACTCGGGTTGTTGGTGCTACTATTAAAGAAATTAAGTATCTACCTAAATATAGGAAATAAAACTAGTGTCTGCTATAAAATATAAAAATATACAAGTATAAAAGATGGTACCTACTAGGAAAGCTATTACTTTTGTACAATTGACATTAAGTTTTAAACTGCTCAAATACAGATTTTCGCCACTGGTAGCCTCTTGACCTTTCGTCGAATTAAAAGGTTCTATTAAGGAAACAAAAATACATTAAGCCAGTCTTTCCAGTCCAAGGAATCACAGGAAATTGCGGTTTCTGGGAAAAATAAAACAGTTTAAAACCCAATTCACTTTTTTTATTGAGAAAAATGTTGAATCAGATACAATTGCTTCCAAGCTACGTATTTACAAGACAAGCTTACAAGAAACCATCTATCTTAGTTTCGTGGAATAGATTTTGTTCCTATATTAATAAGTTGCTTTCATTTTTTTCTTTGAACTCTTATACCTAAAAGCACTCAACACACTTTTATATTAGTCAAGTAGTTCTAGTTTCAATCTCATTTTGTTTGTTTTTTCACAAGTATACAGGGTGTATAAAAAATAAACATCGCAAAATATTACGTCAGACATATTGTACCTGATTGATGGTTGCATTTTTTATACACTTTGCATTTCATGCTTTTTTGGGGTATGCTTTAATACTAATAATTGATATAAAGATATAAAATACATGTGCATAAAATTTCCAACACAAATCATACTTTTCAGTCATAGGTACAACAAAAAATGATATCAACGATTCCTTAGCAGTTTAAAATAAAATTGCACTGATTCCTAAGGAAAGAAAATCTGAACACTGCTTTTCCTCCAGCAACTTTGTAAGTTAGTTAAGCAAACTCTAATAATTCTATAAGTTTGCAGTGGTTTTGTCCCTCCGAACCGAAAACTTTTAATTATGTTGTATACATTACAGCAAAACTTTTACTATGAAATAATGAGAAATTCACAACATCTTTTATGTTACTGTAATAGTTTCCTCTAAAACTCGTGTACGAACTAAATATGTTCTTTCGCTTGATATACTATATACTAAAATATAGATAAAAGCTAAAAGAGCCCTTTATTGAAATTCTGGCGACAGAAGGGATAAACGTAAATGTGGAAGTCTGGAACATTTCCAAAGTATACCCCGTTCTGTTGGTACATGTAAATAGACTGAAAATTTGTATCTCATTATTCGTCAAATAATATATGTATAAAATCAGTGAATTAAATGTTCATTTAAAAAAATACAGAGTAACCGTTCAAAAAAGTAGTCCTGTAATGATACACATCAATATCTACCTACTTTTCATCTAATGATAACTCCAGCTGCTTTAATCATTTCAAATCTTGAACTTATGCCTCTGGCATAGTAATTAATTGCTACTTTTCAATCACTTGCATCTGTTCTCAAATCCTAACTGTTAATTTTTTTTTTGTTGTACCACGAATCACTGTTCCAACGAACCTACTTTTTGCTCCCAATCGTCAAAAGAATGACCTTGCATTTTCTAGGTTCGAACTACTAACTTATTTGGTTGATTAGTACACAAACCGATTACCTTCCACATATTAGACCAAAATATACATGTAGTCACTCTCACTTAACTATCTGCTATTATAACATACCCTCTCACATTCCCAAGAGTTACGTATAGGCTCAGTCACGATGTTTTCAGACACGGTCGGCCTTGAGTTGTTGGAATTTTTCCTCCGAAGATCCATCAAATCATCAGAATAACGCTAGATGAATCGAAAGAATTGTTTACGTTTGTATCTTTTTGTGTTTTGTTCTGCGTGGTCTTCGAGAAATGTAAAAATTTTATTTGTTTTAAGGATTTTGAGGTTTTTTTTCGTTATAATTGATGATCTGATAAAAAATTTAAATAACTACTTCCAATTATTGGGATATTGTCAAGAAATCATGAAGTAAGTGCACGCATGTTTTGAATTTTTGAACTTCTTTCATTGCAAATTTTAAAAAATACTCTTTACCAAGATGTATCTGACAAACATCGCGACGTTTACTCATGCCATTTCTCCTTTATAAAAAACTGGTTTTTCTTTAAGTACTTATGCCATTATTAAAAGACTGTTTCAATCTTTCCTCATTTTGTATTTTCGATGTCTTCGCTATAACATCCTCTGCGGATACGGCCTTCTTTTCAGCTTCAGCAACCTGTATTCAAAATTGATGCTATTGTTCTCATCCCTGAAGTGGTGTACAATCTCCCTAGATATGTTTATGCAGTTCATACCCAGAGTGCAACTGGATGTGTACATCATTTTTATCCTCTTTTCTGTGGGGTGGTGTAGGATAATTTCCTGTTGGTATCTCTTTGCTTCCTCGGGAGGGCCAAAGTATTGGGTAGCTACCCAAGCTGAACCGTCTGTTTTGTTTCCTTGCACGCTCCAGAATATTTCACCGTCTATTTCAGTTCTCCAGAAGGTATAGGAGAATATTTTGCCCACTCTTTGCACCTTGGTGCCGAAGTTGATCTTGTAGGTGTCACCTGCGGCCATCTCTTCGTTGAAATCTGATAGGAAATCCATTTTGGCGGTGTGGAAATATCCTGTTCCAGAGTTGTCTTTCTTGTAAGTTTAAAAATAAGTAATGCTTCAAAATCACTGTAGCTAATCTCTTGAAAAAAAAACACTATCTACGTTTTTGGATCACAAAGTTATCACAGGTATCAGTCTTTTATTTTTCTTCTATTGTTTCCGCTGCATCGTTGTCTTGGTTGGCAGTATACTGGATTTTCTGAAACGAAATAAACGAGTTATCTTTTGTTTGTTTTATGATATTAGATGTTTATCGTAAACTGACTAATGTTTGGATAAACAATTCCTGGTAGAATATAATGAGAAATGATAAGTGGGGATCTAGTGTATTTGTGGTGGTGAAGGATAAACAATTAGATTAGCAGTGAAATCAACATGAATTTTACTTCAAATTTTATAGGTGTCATGACACTATGTATTTGTTTTCCTCATGCACAGGGTGTTGCTTAATTCAACCACTAAACTCCTACAGTGTTTCGTGGTCAAAATTGATATAAAAAGTTAACTACTAACTAGGAGTGAGATATAGTAAACTAGATATATAGAAAAATCAAATTTTGACACTGCAGCATGACAAAGTTATGAAAATTAAAAGTTAATTTAGAATATCTTTAACATGAATTAAAAATGCGAGAATAATAATAGAATATACGTATTTTAAGAACAGCCAAAAATTATATCAAATTTGGTCGGTAATGATACTGCTGTGGATTATATTTAAAAAAAAATCATTGTCGCCAAGTCACCTGCATGATGCTGTATCTTCGCAAGAAATCAACATTAAAAATACTTTGTACATCTTATAAAAGCTAGAGATATTGTTTTAGTAGAATAGGAAATATACTGGTATTATATTAAAATATTCTGATTATTGTATTAATTTCAATGACCTGCTTTACTATGATCTTTTTTAAGATACACTTATTGTATTTATTCAACATGCGTCTAATCAAATTAATCCACGAACGCATTATTACTGATTTTGCCCGCTGTCTTTACACCTCTGTAAGCAGGCGTAGCAATTTTCAAAACTCGAATCTGGGTCACATCCTGTATAAGGCAAAATGTAATTTCTATAATAACAAGGTTAAGATCTGCGGTGGTTTGACCTGTAACCGAGCCTGCCGCATAAAAAATTGCCAAATAGAAATTGTGAAATGGTCAGTTTCACTGCCCATTCTATACGGCTTGCGAAGATGGTCGTCATAAATAACATAACTCTTTCCAGGGTAATGCTTCCTATTCTGAGTATGTTCGGTTCATAAATTTCAGGTGAAACAAAAGGGAGAGTTGACAAAAACAACGGACTGTCGCTAGAACAGTTAGTTGCATTGTAAAGTTTATAAATTTGAATACATAGTTCTATAGGTAAGCGAGAGCTTTCTATTTTCTTTTGCAAATACGTATCTATCTACATTTTTTATGTTAATGAATTACTTTCATTATACTTTCAAAAGAAGAATACATCATGGGATATTTTACATTTGCATGGAATGAATCCTCAAATTCATTTGTTAAGATTTAAACAAAATGATATTGAATTCGTATTAACCTTTAATACAGGGTGTTTCGCATAAGGACCGACACAGAGCAGGGGATGTAGGGGAACTCAAAATATGGTGATTTAACGCAACTTACGTTTATACTAAGCTACACCCCTGAGAAGTTACATATCTCAGTTATACTTCAACTTAAAAAAAAAAAAACAAAAACCGCGCATCAAGTGCATTAATCTTCAGTAAGTAGAGTTCAATTGGAGCATTTTAAAGACGGGTATCCATTTGTGTCAAATGCCCCGTAACGTAACACCGAATATGTTACGTTACAGCTAGTGGAGACGAAAAATTGTTGCATGGTACGTGTAACAAATTTGACACGCGTAAATAATCCGGGACGAACCATCAGTTGTCGGTTTTTAGTCTTCCACATGTTGAGACGGTGTTACCCTTTTAGCCGTAACGTTGCCTATTACACATGTGATTTTGTCTGATTTTTTGTTTCGTCAGTCTTTTGTAAATGGTCTGGGGTCAGTCTGTTTTCTACAGTGACTAGGAAGAGTGTGTTTTTCTGTGTTTTTGCCATGGAGTGAAGTAATGAAAAGATTTCCGGAGATTTCTGTTTCTTATTCTTCAAAATTGTATTATGAATAAAAATATATGACGCTGCTACTAACTGCAATTGCAGTGACGAATCCATTATTGCAGTCAGGTTCATACTGCGAGTTTATGTTCCTGTGTCGTCTCGTAACCTTATTTTGTTACGTTACGGAATGAATGATACGACCAAAACCACACAAACTTTTGCAGCGAACCGTGTCACCTTTTGCAACAGGCCGTAACATGTTCGTTGTTACGTTACGGAGCATTGCCACAAATGGATACTCGCCTTAAAGGGTTGTTAAGGGATGATGCATCATTAAAATGTAACAGAATTTTTTTACCCGTTGGCGGACTTATTTTACTGGGAATTTAATTCTAAAACTTTTCTTACTCTTGTTAGTTTTCAAAAAACTGTCGTTTTGAGCAAAAACACGAATAACTAATAATACGTATTGCAGCTGTTATTTAAGATCATGGAAAATTCAAAAATTGTCTATGAATTTAAACGTCAAACTTGACGATCAGGAGAAAAGTTGGAATAAGAATAATTTAATAGAAAAACAAACAACTTAAACAACAGAAGTAACATAGAATTTGCACTGATAAGTTATAGAACTTATTCAAAATGATCACCGTTTTCTCTCAAACATAAATTTATTCTTTGTGGAAGACTGAAGTCTACTCCATCCAATAACTGCTGATATTTCTAATGAATGTGCATCCCTAATGCGATTCCACAATTCTGCTCGAGACGCAATTGGCGAGGAATACACACATTCTTTTAAGGTTCCCCAAAGAAAGATGTCACATTTGTTGAGGTCTGGTGATCGTGAAGGCCAAACTTGTGGACAATTATTTCCTCTTCCAATCCATTTATTTGGATACTGGTGGTATAAAAAGTATCTAACAATATTACTAAAATGAGGGGGTGCCCCGTCATGCATAAACCAATGTTCAAGTCTGAGTTGTAGTGGCACCTCGTCAAGTAGATCGGGGAGAGTGTTTTGGAGAATTTCTAAACAAGATTCGCCGTTTAGTCGATTCGTTAAAATAACTGGACTAATTAAATACCGATCAATAACACCGATCCAAACATTTATTTTAAACTCACGTTGGAAATGTCGGTCGAGGAGTTACTGAATGAGAGTTTACATCGGAATACTCATGATAGTTATGTAAATTTGTAATAACTCTGCGGGTGAAACAAGCTTCATGAGTAAAGAGAATTTTCTTTTGAAAATGCCTTGATGTAAAATAAACTGACAGAAATTTACTAGTTTAATCAAATCATTCGGTAACAATTCTTGCCTTTTTGGATATGATATGATATAGATGTAGTAGATTACGTCTGATCACTCGGTGCACAGAAGTTTGCGATATACCAGTTTGTCGAGAATAATTCTAGTACTAATATGTAGGTAATCTTCAATTGTATTCAAAATAAGTTCTTCGTCTTGTGCCCTGATTGCAATAACACGTTCTCGAGTGTTACTGAAAAACTTGTCTGTTTCTCGTGCCTGTTTTGCAACATTGGAAACTGTTTCTCAATGGGGGTTAACGATTTGGGAATCTCCGATATTCTTCAACATTTCTTCTGTAGTTTCCTTCACAAAACCTAACACTAATAGCATGTCAACTTGTACGCTAACTTTTGAATTTTAGGTATTATTAGTAGAATAATAGTATTATTATAGGAAGAAAAGTATTAGAACTAAATTCCCCATAAAATAAAGTAATAATTTTTTAAGTCCGCCAACGGTTAAAAAATTTTGTCACATTTTGATAGTGCATCATCCCTTATCAACACTTTAAAATGCTTCAATTGAATTCACTGTCGATTAATGCCTATAACTTCTCAGGGGTGCAGCTTAGGATAAAGGTAAGTTGCGTTAAATCACCTTATTTTGGGTTCCGCTACATGCTGCGGCCCTGTGTTGGTTCTTATGCGAAACATTCTGTATATTGTAAAAAAATATAAAAGGAAATAAAATATACGTTAAAAAACATTTTTATAAGCACATGGCTCAGCATATAACTGTATCCGAGATCAGGTCCTGCAAAACGGTCTGTCTAACACTTGCAATCCATCAAACGTGTTTTTCGCAACAGTTATTTAGCCAGAAATCCAACGCAGGCGACGACCACATGGGAAGTCGTAGATATGGGTTACGGTTACGATTACGTCATCATACTTTGAAATAGAACATTCGTTTCATTCTTAAATTTAGACGATCGTAATATATTGACGCGAAAACATGTCGCGAAAAATGCGGGAAAGACTGCCAAGTTCTTTGAGTCAGGTCTGAGACCATGACACTGTGGGGAAATTTTCACTGGCAATCAGAATTCGGGTTAAATTTTACTCACGTTCTGATTTTTTAATTGATGCTCCTCTCGATTAGCAACCATAAGTGTTTATATAATTAGTGAAATGTTAAAATATTTACGTTATCTGATAAGAAAATGCATTATTTATAACACAATATCGATAATTATTATGATTTTAACAAAAAATGTAATATAGTATGCACGCCATTGCATATATTTAATGTTTTAATTTGAAGCTTAATTCTGGATGAAAACGCTGTTTTACTAATTTATTGATCATACATTATTGCATAATTTTTTCTGTTAATAAGCTGTAAATGAAAACATGCTAGCAGACTTTTTTTATCTGGTAATGAATGAGGATTGCAAAAAATACTTAGAAAATTAAAAACATCAGTCGTTCTTAGTACACACACAACAATCCTTTATTGAGTTATTAAAAAAAAAAACGCCCTATATTTTGAAAAGGAGTAATTTTTTATATATATTCGAATATAAATATTTCATCATGAAATACTGTGAAGTATCACCCTCTGAAATATTTTATACTACTTAAGAAAGACCCTGTATATTTGCAGATACATATACATGGTGTTAATTATGTACTCTGACACATTTTTAATAGTGGATTCTACGTCACAAATCAAAACAGTTCCTATTATAAACATGTTTCTTGTTGAAATTTACCAAATTTATTTAAATTAGTAATTATTTTGACAGTTATTATATGTTCAGAAGGTGAAAACAAATAGATTTTCGAAACGTTAACAACTTTTTGAAGTGCCTGGTACATAGCGATGTTTTTTATATCTTGTATTCCTGCTTTTTTCAGCGTGAGATTTTAGAAAAAAATTATTTTCAAAAAATAGTACGTATTGCTTTATTAAATATAACTATTATGAATTTAGTTATAACAAATAAATGGTTTGCTTCAAATTAACAAGCGCTTTGATTACAACAAATAAACAACTTTAAAATACTGACTACCTCTGAATGTTTGTTCCTGTCCATTTGATTTTATTCTAGAGTGTATCCGTGAGAGAAAGCAACCAATATAGATATGAAAAGTAGCCTATTTGCTGTACCATCGCCATCGCTACAAAAGACTCCGGGTAATGACTTGTGCAAGACCTCGCCACTGAACCGTGCGACTCAATATCGAAATTACTCCGGCATTGGGTAATAGACTGAGTGAGAATCGGAATTTTTGTTTTTTAACTGTCAATTCGATATTCGATTATTTCAGCAGCTGACTTTTTGTTGGTGCCGAACTTTCTATTGTTATATTTCGATGATAGGCAGTTACTTTGGGTATTGGTTGGTTTAAGTATAAGATGTTGTTTGGTATACCTCGTTTCGACATAATATGGTTTGGTCCAGAGCAATTACGAGTATTTTAATTAACTAAAACGGTAGTAGTCATCAAGGAATGTTAGCAGATTTACGTTTTTTAAAGATTTAAAGACAAAACGTTTCTATTATAGAAAATCTAAATAATTTGTTCAAAGTGTCTTAAATTCAATTATCTCTCTAAGTCATAATTAATGGAAGAAAACTATGAAATGTACCCTCACGGTTTAGAAGTTTTTAAGGGAATTTTGAATATAAGTACAAGTGGTGCAACTGTTACAATAAGAATGTAAGTTATTTTTAGGTGATATCTAGGTGCTAGATATAATTAATAAGAAATATAAATTTTTTGATAAAGTCATATTATCAGTACCAGAACATGTAACACCAATATTGATATGTTAAATATCTGCACAGAAATCTAATATGCCACCATCATAAATAAAGGAATAAAGATAATATCAAACATGCCAATAAGGATAAGTACATGGTAATCGATATATCTTGAGAAAGGTCTTTTCTTGAAAGCCACTGAAGATAATTAAATAGACAGAAGTCCTGTACCTATTTTTTTTCAGCTTATCAAAACAAAATTATGTTTCTGAGAAAAAGAAAGCACCAGGTGATGCAATTATATAACTTCATTTTTTTATCCCACATTTATATGATAGCTACTGAAAATATAACACACTATTTTCAGAATTTAATTATTTTCTCCCATCCAGTTATTGGTACAAGTTGTGTAATTATTTTGAAGGTAATTTTTAGATGACGTTTAGATGATTGGATCAAAAATTAGTTTGATAATCTCACGTTATCACTATTAGTACCATGTGATACAAATATTAATACGATGTCTATAATACCTATATGTTAAATAACTGCAACAAACAAAAGTTGTAATTTGCCGTAGAAAACGTAAAAAATTAATGAATAAGAACAATATCAAACTTTTTTGGGCACCGTCAGTATGTTTTGATGACAATAGTATGGTTTAATACTAGTAATAATGTATGGAGAAGAATAAAACAAGTTTTCTTCTAAGTAAAAGTAGTTTTTTTTACTGATTTGAGTCAAAATTAAATGTAAGTATTCATTGAAGGATCCACACAAACCTTGAAATGTATTCAATTCATACATTTTAACCAAAAAAATTAAGGGGGAACGTAGTGCAAATTATTTTTGCTTACTTATAATTAAAATATTTTATATTAAATTGAGTGTCTGTACCTAAATACCTGATACAAGTATTTGGTAATATAAAGAATAAAACTAAAAACCTTGAACGCATTCTGTACCATTACTGGACAATTTAAAATTTCATGGATTCTTTTACACTACTAACAATAACTGAACAGTACTTTCGAATAAATAACTAATACTTTTATAATCCATACCTGGCTAATTCAGTGAAATAAATAAATTTTGCTTATCAAACTGAAGATTCAGAAGTTGCGCAATCAAGCACATGGGAGATTCGACTTAAAAACGACTCTAATTACCTTATTTCAGTTTCATTTCCCGTTTATATCAATCTCTGGCACCCCCACATGTTCGTGGACATCTTCATGTCACACACCAGAATGCGAACCACTCGGAGCCAATTCAAATCTGCATGAAAGTCGCACACGATGCTTGCACCAATTTTTAGTAACTGAACTGGCGAATTTCGGCGTGTTGAGTTAAGCAGCCGACTTGGTGGGCTTTGCGGGACGGCGGCCAATCGAGAGAAAGCTCTCGGTACTACTAGATAATCATGAAACTAAAAATAAGTACTATGAAGCGTGGACGCGGGTTCAGATTTGTAATCGTGATGAATGCGTTTTGGTCGTGGCCGCCAGTGTCGATTTTTCTATACAGGGTGTGAATAAAGGGGTGCGAGAAAATTAAAGACCTTGATTCCTCGTTGAAAATTCATGTAAGAGTTAAAAGGCTATTGACACTGCGTGTGGTTAACGTATATGTAGCCGTACTTAATGAATTTTCATATCTAATTAGGCAGATCGATGGTACATGTTTCAATAGTCTACGTTAAACATCCTCAGGGATATTTCAGGACATGTAATAGTTTCTTTTAAATTTCGGCTTTCACAAGACAAGCATCCAAATGAAACTTCTTATTTAAATTGTTTGTGTTATCATCTAGTGAAGTTCCTCAATGTACTACCCTGTATATGGTTTAGTACGGAAATATATGGAGGTTTATTTAAGAATAAAGATGCTTAGCGCGTTCAGATTTAATTACCTGCCAGTAAATTACATTACCGTGCATATCTACAAGGTGTAAGAAGTTTGACTGCCATTACTTCATCATAAGATAGAGTAATAATAAATGAACAAAAGAATTGTATATTACAGGGGCATAAACCTAACAGTTTTCAAAATACAGCCAGTATTAATATTGGGGAGTACAAAACAAACTACAACATATGCTCAAAATGTCCACCACCATTTTCGATGCACGCACACCTTCGAATCCAATTTTCGCGCAGTCGCTGGAAAACACCTCAAGAAAAGGAAATAATGGTCCGCAAAAAACACTCAGACACGGTCCAATTCCAGGTAACAACTGAATTTCTTAATGCTGGACAGCTTAGTACCTCGTGTGATCCGCCGTGCTGTTGTCTCATTGCTCGATATGAATTTTATCGCATTTTAAATTTATTACAATGCTAACTATTTTTAGAATAAAGCATAAAGAAGTTTAAAAAAGTGATAAACATTGTATTTTATGGTATTCTATGCACGCAATTATGTCAGTATCCCTTAATTAATTGAACTTTTGTACATCAAATTGAAGATTGATTTTGATATTTTTTTTCTTGGAAATGATTGAGTTTAGAACCCATGTCATATAAGGTTTTTTTGTTTATTAAAATGTATTCCATCGTCTGTTAAAATTAAGACAGTCAACCTCTAACACCCTGTATATAAAGAAACAGCATAGTTAAAATAATCAGAATAGTTCCCGTAGTCATACTAACTGAAGCAAAATAAGAAAAAAAGTAATCATATCTATAGAAAATGAAAAGCGATAGTCAACAAAAAATATTATGACTAACTGTATCACCTGATTTGAGACTTACTTCTTTTTTACACCATAGTTATAATCACATTGTACAGTTATTGGTAACACCAATATAGTAAATCAAGTGTGAGAAATTTGAATTTGGACTCGTATCACCCCTAAAACTACGTCCGAACAATATTTTGGAGGTAAATTCAGTAAATACAGTGTGAATAGTGAAACACATGATCGGTTTACTCCTAGTTTAAACAATAGAACCTAATATTTGATATTTACATATAAAGGAAATACAACTGTGTTCAGTTCTAACAATAATAGAAACGGGGTGCTAAAGGGATCAATATTAGGTTCAGTATTTTTACATTATACATTAATGAACTGATTTTATTTGATACATTAACTTCATTTTATGATTATGATTACATTATTGTGTAACGACAAGCATCCAAATACTCTGCATAGAAAAATGACAAACTCCCATTTGGAATTCTCCGCTTAGTCTAACATTCAGTCACCATTATTTAATACAATTAAAATTAACTCTGTCTCATTTCACACTTTACAAAATATTTCCTAGTACCTCATTCTAACATATCCATTAATAAGTCAAATATTCAAACATCGATTAGGTATGCAAAATTTCTTGGATGAATTCTTAGTTTACAACAACTTCGTCTGTATTACTTTAGCGTGATATAGTTTAGAATTGCGATATGATGTAACTGTTTCGGGTGATTTTCCTCATTTAAATGGTGATTTTTGTCATAAAAGGCGATCATAAAAAAGTTGTATTAAGAGTAAGAGTAAAAATAAGAGAGAGTTGGGTAAGAGTAAGTTGTATTAAGGTTGTATTAAAAGTAGAAGGAGTTGTATCAAGGGAATTAAGAGTGTAAGACGTATTAAGCGTGAATTAAGCGTTAAATTATAAGTTGTATTGAGTTGTATTAAGAGTAAATAAGTTGTATTAAGAGAACTCCTTACAGTTCTTGCTGTTTGTTTAATAAATTAAAATTATCAACATTCTATAGTCTCTATATCATGGATTTACTCATATCAGTAGTCATCCTGCTCATATATATGCACTAATGAATATATTCATATATGAGATGCGAGTCAATTTTTTCTAGATCTTACCGAGATCTGGAAGATCCAAGAAGTATTCTAACATTAGTAAAAAACAGGTATTGCAAAGAGATCTTTTTGTTTAATGAGATATTAAAAAAAACAGAAAAAATAACCATCAGCACCCGATATTTTGGGGAAAAAACATTTTTTTGACATTTTGACATATTATGTTAATATGAACTTTGTGTAGAATCACCCTCTAAAATATTTCAGAGTATTTTGGAAACACCCCGTATTGTATATTTTATTCTTAAATTAGTAGTTTTTGATGTTTCCAGAAATATTTCCTAAATGACTTTAAAGTATCTCTTTCACACCACCAGAAAATATTTCGAAAACTTTGATCGACTTCCTGGTGGACACTGTAGTAACCTACGCCTAAACTTCAAACGTAATTCCTATCGCTGCTGTATCTGGCGTAAAAAAAATAATAATGTTCAATCGATCGTTACACTCCAATCGAATTACCACACTTTATTAGCTCACGTAATACCCGGAGTGGAAAGTGGCCTATTAAGGTATCAAAGTGATGAAAAAAATCTTGTTATTTGATTAGTCTAGATAAGTGGATAATTGCTCAATTAATTACAAAACACCACTTAGCAGGTGATCGATGCCTCGGATATTAGGTTCGCTTCCTTGGAAAAGTGCCTGGTTTTCCGTCAAGACATATTTTAATTATTAGCTCGATATATAGGGTGTACATATATTCAGCGTGTGATGGTCAATGGTTTTTGAGACAAAATAAAGGCAAATGTCGGCAAGGGCACCGCGAGAGGAGGGTAAGAGGGTCAGTAGAAACTTCGTAAACAGAAACAGAAAAGTCCAGAAGGTTCATATCCAGACTTTGTGCTGGCCAACGTACAGGGCCATTTCGTTCTATCCACCTTTCTGAAAGTTGGTATGTAAAAATGCACAAACAGCACAAGAAACATGGGGAGGAGCACCATCATGCATAAAGAACATTTAGGCACGGATTTGTAAGGGACTTATTTCAGAATCACCCTACATAGAGGGGAAGGTTGATTGTGATCAAGTTATAAAAAAAGTACTGAGTACTCAAGACAGAAAGTTAAAGTTTTACTTTTGTTAAAATTAAAAATATGCCTTTATAAATATGTCTACACAAAATATGTCGGAGTACGAGAGTATTAATCTTAAAGAGTAACCTTAAATATAAAAGTTTAGAAAACCCATAAACATAAAAACGCCCTACAAAGTTTAGAGTTGAGATAAGGTTTCAGTATCATATTGACTACGCTGAAAATATATACCTTTGAAGTTTTCTAAGTTTTCTAGATTGAAATTTTAGAGCCTATCATTTAATAGTGGAACGAGTGGAACATATGAGAGACAATAATAATCAAACGTAAAAATTTATCACCTTTTCCAACATTAATAACATTAATTCAGAGAAACTAGATGAATAAAACATGAATTTATTGAAATAAATCAAAATGTAGCATCTTATTTTTTTTATTTATAGATTTAAAAAATTTGAATGTCGTAGAATAAGTAATTTTAAATTTTGGATAATAAAGTAATAGCTAATAATTTTTTTCAAAATTTGGCCCTAAAAAAATTGTAGCAGTTTTTACTTATTATACATATTAACAGCACATCATATGCAAACCAGTAGGTTCACTGCGCTGTAAGCACTTTGATCTCATTCAGCCGTTTGGATGGAAAAGCGCCGATCAGGGACGTAATAAGATTTTTTTGCTTTTTTGCTACAGGAAAGCGTATTAAAAAAGATAATAATCATGAAAATATATTTCAATTTAACTAATATTATTAAATTAAAAATTTGATTATACATACATAGTTTTATTACTACTTCGCGATCTTTATCACCTTAGGTAGTTTATTCGTTATTTGTTAGTGACGTGTTATTTGTTATAATATACAGGGTGTCCCGAAATTAGGGGGCAATATTGCTACGAGGTGTTCTATGTCGAAAACGATTACTTTTTCTTTATACTGGGTGTAACGTAAAGGTTGGGAATAAATTAAACGGCGGATTATTTGGTTTAAAAAATATTTTTTTCTCATATGAAGTTATGCTCTACGGGTTTTCTTTTCCAAGCTACAGGGCGCTAAAAGTTTCAAAAAATTTAGTTTTTCTCCAATAACTTTCGAACATTATAAGATAATGGAACCAAATTTTAGCCCTAGCTAAATTTGATAATCCCCTAGTAATAGGAAAAAGATTGCCTTTGTAAGTTACTCAGCCGCACGCGTACAGATTGTACCATAAGGTTTTTCGAAGAAAATTGTGGTACGCCACTGGTAAAAACATTTTTTTTAATATTTTTTTATGATCTACTTTTTATTTTAAACAAAATTACCTTCTTGCGTTTTATTTCTAGCTCTTGTAATTTTTCTGTAAATAAAACTTTTGTAAATACCTACCACTTTTTCCCACTGCTAACAGAGGGATATAAAAATAACAAAAGCATTATGAAGTACGCTTTGACTCAGCCACCGAACATGGTCAAATAGGCATTGAAAAAAAATTTTTGCATTGAAAATGATATTAA